ATGTTGATCCACCGACATTGAACTAGTCCTTGAAAATCATGATTATCCTCACGGAATAATCTCTACTAGGTGGACTAAAACTATCAAACATCATAAAAAAGAAAATAAAAAAATAGCTAGTCATTATTGAAATGATATATTAAAATAAAAAAATAATTACATCGACTTTAAAAATGATATGGTGTCTACGAGCGATAGAAATATGCCATCGACTAAAGGCGCTTTGGAAGCTCTCTAAGGATATAAATACATTGTTGGATATGGCATCCGCTACGACTAGTGCTGGAACCTCTAGTGTCGGTACGAGACCCTCTATGAGTGGGGGAGCCTCTATGGCCATAAACACTATAGATGTACAACCTTTGTATGAGGGAAAAGAAGAATGTCCATGGCCATAGGAGTCACGAGACCCATGTATAGTGTTTGAAGTGGGAGATCCTCAATCAACATTGGTTGAGAATCTTAGTGAGCTATCATCATATGAGATACATGCTTATGATTATCGAAACATGATCCTGTAATGATTGTGGGGGTTAGCCCAAACCATGAGTCATTGCTAAATTATATAAGCTAATAAGATAATTAAACAAAATACAACAAATATATTATTAATACGAAGCATTAAAAAAATCGAACTCTGGACACTTCTTAATTACTTGATAAGTAACCTATTTTAAACATAATATAATCAAAATACACAATCAAAATTTTAAAGATGTATCATAATTAATATTATATACTACATGTAATAAATAAAGAAACAAACAAAAAAAATACATCATTTGTTATTAATATAACAAATAAAACATATATTTAATTACCACCATCATAATCACTATCTAAATTATAACCTTTGACATTCGATGCTTTTTTACACTTTTTCTCATCATCTTCGCTAACCACTACTACTTCTATATCTATAAACAATCTAGTTAAATCATTCAAAAAATAATGTCTTTGACTTCTTTTATCAATTCATGTCGGATTTCTAGATTATCCTATTAAAATGATTTAGCATTTTGTTGGACTGTAATGGATGATTTAGGTAAGTCAAACATAGACCTAGCTTTGATCTCACAAATAGCCCAATTTTGATTCTTGTACCTTAACCTAGGATACTTAACATAATACACCTAAGCCGTTTATGATGCAAGGATAATTAGTTTGTAATTTTTAATCTTTTCTTACGGTTAACATCTATCAATCCGTACTATAGATGAACCCTTGTTCTTTACGAGCATAGGATCGAACCAATCATATTTAAAAAACACTATTTTCTTGATTGGTAATATAGGATACTCTACTATAAGAATTTTCATCAATATCTCATAATAACTACTCTCACTTGTATTATAGTTGGTTCTTGTAATACATATACCACTATTAAAAGTCTTTATTTTATAAGCTTCCTCAAGTATACGAAACCTATATTCATTAACAAAATAACCCAAGTATGACCTGACATTAAGTAATGCGCCTTATACAAGATCTTTTAAGAATTAGTATATCATGTTCCTTGCTCGTCCATTTTCTATCTATGAATTCGACATCAAATCCCCTAAAAGGTCGGTTACCTATTAATCAATACTACCCACTAACAAAATATAAGTAAAATGATGATACTCATATAATGACTAAACTAGAAGGCAAACTCGGCTTCAATTATAGCATCATGTCTCACTCTTGAGCATGAAGGGATTGGTCAATCGCATTTCGATAAGAAATCCACTAACGAGGATTAACGGTAGATGTGAGTCGGTGTCTATTATGATTGCTAATATCATGATATGTAATTAAAGATTATGATTTAGAAATTGAATTTTGACAAACTCTCTCATTGTAAGGTTTAATAATATATATTAATGGGTTGCTTTGTATTCGACTTCTATCAATTTCTATCTTGTGTGTCGACCAATTGGTCGACCTTGTTGGTTTAATACGAATAGCATCCCTTCAATTGTTTTTGCCCTCTTCTCCACCACACTTAACATTATATAGTACTTTTCAATGCCTAGTATGCACATAAGCATCAAATTTATACAAACAAAACAAATAGGCTTCTTTTATCAAATATACATTACATATTGATCCTTTCACTTTAGCCTTGTTCTTGAAATTATTTTTTAGCTTTCACGAGTACCTACAATATAAATTATTTTAAGGTTCGATAGTTAGAAGTTAATTATTTAATTTTATATTAAAATTCAATGCCAATACCTTTCAAATGATACATCCATCAATACTATGCTAGTTCCGTAATAGATGCCTTATATAGTAGGTGGATCGAAGATGTTCTATGGAGTCAAAGAAGTTAGAAGGGACTATATGCTTTAGCTTGTATAGAATGATGGGTATTTCATCATAAAGCATAGCATATCTTCTTCCTTTATCACTGTAGAAGTCAATTGATTGAAGAACAAACTCAACTCTATAAGTGTTTACCAAACATTTCTCGACAAAAGCTCCCAAAATATAATTGGAACTAAACTCGCATAAAGAAGTGATAGTCATGGCTTTTCATCTCATGAAGTTTTTCATTTTGCATATCAACACATCTAGCTAGGTTGGAGACATCCGTCAAGAAACTTAAGTTGTTTGCTCTATTCAAGTAATTTGGTTTTCTATTATTTAGAAAGAATAAAAGTAGCTTTAGGGTACTTCCTAAATGCATTATCCCTTGCTAATTCTAGCCTTTTACAAAAAAGTTTTAAGTCTTCCCTTGAGTTATCATGATCTCTAATCTTACATGAAACATTCATGATTATGTTAAAAATATTACCAAACATATTTTTCTCAATATGTATGGCATCTAAATTGTGTCAAATGAGATTCGTACTTCGATAAGGTAAATCCTAGAAAATACTCTATTTTCTCCATTCACACATCCGAGAGATTCTGCTATTATAATCATCTGTACCATCTTTTATTACCTTCAATAAGCCCTACTATTCCACTAGATGTAACAACTCAGCTCGAGATTGGATTGGAGGAGGGCCGGATCTCATAACCTTTTTTACGGTTAATAATTTCTTGTTTCTTTTGTATTGTTAATCATGAGGAAGAAACTTCGATGATTGTCGAACCATGAGGTCTTCCTTCCATTAGGAAGAGAGAAAGCATCCGAATTTTTCAACCAAACAACATCAAATATGCAAGAAAGTCACCGATAGTCCATATAACTAAAGCGAGTTAATAAAAAATTCTACTTACGATGTACATCGTACATCACAACACCCACTTCTCATAAATGAAAAAGCTCAAAAATCAAAAGTCGCAAGTAAATGTCCAACTTATGCTTTGGATTTGTTCAACCCAAAACAATCAATGTTAGGAATATATATTCCTCCTTCATACACATCCAACATGGTAAATTATAAGGAGTCACAATTATCAACGATAAAGAATATTACGCATCGTATTGATCAAATGGCTAAAACCCATATAAGCAAACTCGAATCCGACGTTCCTTTTTTTAGCTGCAAAAGGAATATTAATCTAATTAAAACCTTGCCATGGAATAGAGTCGGAGTGATGACATATTACTCCTACATTATCTACCTCACGTTCGGCATGCCATGTCATGTGCTCGGTTATGGCATTCTATGCATACAATTGCTACAGACCATGGGGTTGGGGGAAAATAGTACATTTTTTTAATTGGAATAAGTTTTGCTTTTACCAATTTTTGATGGGGACTTTGACATTGAGGATGTTTACGGAATTTGCATTTATCTAATTCACTCTATTCCTTCCAATTGATCATGTAGTCTTTCTCACAACAATGAATCTTTTCCACTAGTAAACCCATCTCTTTAACCATTTTCTTTGTTTCATAAAAGTTGTCTACCATTTAACTATCGGGAGGTATCAACTCCTTCATCGACTCACATTACTAGTCGAAACACTTTTTATGAAAATGATATTTGGCTTTCTGTTTAGTATTTGTGCAACTACCGATAGCTACGAGTGCTCATCACCACCAAGCCAAATCTCTCTATGGGATGCATTCAACATATCATAAAAAAGCTAATCATTGGGATTTGGAACTCCTCCATGCTAGATGGATCGAAAGATGGACCGGCTAAATCCATTACCATAATTAGATATGGGTTTTGAGGTTTACTAAAACCACTTCGTTTACATGATAATTTTCAAAAACATAATAACTCCTAGAATCAATAGATGCCATGTAGGACTTAAATTCTTCATGATGTATCCAATCATAATATCCTAGGACAAAACCCTTATGGTAAAAATGGTAGTTGGCCGTTTCAACCTCCTTAAATTTTTTTTCAAAACTTACTATAATTACAAGAACATCTAATTTTAGTTCCTTCACGATGCTCAATAGTGAAAACAACAAATTGCTCAATCCCTTTGATAAACTCATTATTTAACAACCAATCAGCTATTATGCATCAAAAAAAGAAAAAAAAAACTTGACGAATTGACAATTTAGGAGTGGTTTTTCCCATCCCAAAAAATAATTTTGCGGCTGGTTACCCATCCTAAAACACCCACCTTAACATTCCTTGATAGTTGAAAAAACCTTCGATAAGCTGTAGTGAGGCAGTTGGTAAAACAGTCGGGAAATGTTGTAGAGGTGGTCAATTGAAAAACCGTCCGAAAAGGATCCTTTGGTGTAGTGAGTAAGTTTAACGGTAATAGCATCCCAACAAAAGACAGCTGATATGTTATAGACAATGCGTACAACTTAAATTCCATAGCAAACAAAACGTCAAGTAAACGAAAACCACCAGAAATTATAGAATTCAAAGACGCTTAAGACTCGGAAGACTAGACAACACAAACAGCTCAAACCAAACCAAACACAATGGTTAATTATTACAAGACATATCAACTACATAACTGAAACTCTTGAGACTAGGAAGACTAGACAAGACAAACAGCTTAAACCAAAGCAAACGCAATGGTTAATTATTACAAGACATATCAACTACATAACTGAAACTCCATTAAGCAGGAGCAGAAGCAGAAACTTAGGCAACAGCGCCAGCATCAGTTAGCAGAGGAAATAGCTTTCTATCCTGGTACAGGCCTATGATTGCTGCAAAACAATGAAAGGAGCCCCCATGAGCAATAGGGTAAACAATAACAACGGAATAGAGAAAGAAAAGTGTAGAAAGGTGGTATTAAAGGCCATACAGTCACAGCCGCCAATGTGGTTGCCACCAATGAAAACATTTGGCACGGTACGTTGTCCAGTCCACTCAGCCAGAGCTGATTGTATGTCAGCTCCATCCTCTTAAAAACACAACAATTTTTACTATAATTATAATCAGTTAAAGCCTAATTAACAACACATATTCACCCTTTCATAGCAAGACAAACCAGACTGAGATACATAAAATCACACATAGCATAAACACACATAGCATAGGTGATAGGATGCAATGATTTTGTGTTCATAAAATTCAAGAAAATTCCTTCCTTTATGATTGGATCACATCGTAAAACAAATGTGCTACATATTGGTTGCTCAAGACAGGTCAAAGTAATTTGGTGAAAAATACTAGTCATGTAATTAACTAATGATTTGTCAAAAGCATGAGTAATAAAAGAACAGGATAGAGCACAAGAAATAATGAAAAACTTACTCTCGACATCCAACTCTACAGCCTTGAATTTGACTCCGAAATCGCCAAAAATCTGCTTCATTTTTGAGCAGAAGGGACAGGTTGTCTTGCTGCAAATGTTTTTAAGATATGAATATTAGTAATTACTCAAAATTAATCTAAATAAGTATACGTACATAGATTGAGATGATTTAATTGGAAGAAAACCTGAAAATCACCACGGTATTGGTGGATACAAGCTCCTTCGCATTTTTCATTGCCATTATTTCTCCAGCAATCTATTTTCTTAACCCTTAATTCCAATCAAGATTCTGAAGTTTTTCTGTACCTTACCCTCTATATATACAAGTTGAGAAGTTTAAAATGTGCAAGTAAAACTAGTGATGTGAGTGGGATGGAAAATGATTGACAAACGATCTAAACCATCCATTTCTACATCTTTTTTGTCCTTCGATTTCGTGTTGTGCGCCATGATTGGGTTTATAGCCAGAAAATCAGTTTTAAAATATGTTCACATTGCATATGTAAGTTCTATAGACTATTGCATCCTCCAGTAGAACAAAAGTTCAGCAAAAATGTTGACCACAAAATGTCAAAGATAAAATCTAAAAGTAACCGAGTCATATTAGGATTTAAAATATGTTCTGTTCATATGTGTTCATATGTTTGGTCAAAATCTTTTACTAAAAGAAAAGGAGAGAAGAAAAGAAGACATACTGGCACCAAGTTTCTTGGTTACCTTTCATTTAATAGTAAACCTAATCTGATACTGTTCGGTAAATTATTCTATAAACCCAATGGTTTGAAATTTAAACGGATCGAATTTGTAATTAGATCCATCAAAATATTTATTTGGTCAAATTCAATTGATTTGACGGAATTCGGTCAAGGTCAGTTGAATCAAAAATTAATTTTTTTAAGAAAATAAGAAAAACCAAATTACTTGGCAAAGATTTGAATCTTATCCCCTTTTATTAAAAAAAAATGCAATTTAGTTTTAATAATATTTGTATAGTTTTAATATTTTATATTATAATAATTAACCATCAAATCAAGGAAGTTGACCAACAATTCAATTATCTAAGTTTTTGACTTGATTAGGTATCTTAAACTAAGAATGTATTTGATAACTTATTTAAATAGCTTAAAAAATAAAATTGTAATACTTAACATAAAAAATTTGTTTAATAATTTAAATAATCTCATATTTAAAATTTAAATTCAATCAAAATCTACTTAATTAGATAATTTAAAGTTTTTAACTTAAAACTTTTTTATTAATACATTCAATTGAAAACTTTTTAACACTTTTTAAATATGATTATATAGCTTTCATATATTTTTATAATTTTAGCTATACAATCAATTGAAAAACACATCTTGGTATATATACACACAAACACATCTACTTCAGCATTTTTAAATTGCATCACTAACTTAATTATTTCATCTTTCTTCGCTTTATCAGGAACACCAACAAGTTGCAAATTTATTCAACTGGCAGAACGTGACTATTTAAACAAAAACCATTGTCCAGGGAGGAGCGAAACACATCCTATGCCCCATAAATGGGGCCAAAATCTTTTCATCATTGATTAAAAAAATAAAAAAGAAAAAAAAAGAAAGAAAAAAGAAGAAGAAGAATGGTACTTGAGAGAAAAGGTTAAAAAAAAGGGGGAAAAAAGCAAGAAAAATTATTGAGACAGTAAATGAAAGTGGATGTAAGTTATTGTTGATTGTACTGTTTTTGGATACACAATCATACTGTATGTATGTGATCAATATGGGTGGCAGTGAACATATACTATTTCCTATAGCTTTCAGCATAATGAATATGCAAGTCTTTGGATAGGACATCAGCATAACTATGGTAGTGAACATATATTATTAAAAATAAAAAATAGATAAATAAATTTTTTTATTTTTAAATCTTTTATCAATAATCATTTTTATTTATATATATATTTATACGCACAAACACATCTATGTATATATTTTTATTTTTATTAAAAAAAAATCATGTTACAATATTAAGGTTAAAATTATCATGTATATAGCCTTAATATATTTAGTAATAATACTTATCAAACAATCTTATTATATTCAGCTCTTAATTTTTAATAAATACTAAATAGCTTGTCAACAACATATTCGGTGTTTAATTATTCAACACTTAAAGTTCGGTATTTAACGGATTCAACACTTAATTTTCAGTTTTATCAAATACCGCATATGCCCGACAAATATGCATTTAATAATCAAGTATAGATGGAATAGGATTCCAAAACAAGTCAAGCATTTTTAAAAAGCACTCAGAAAAAGGGTAAAAAAAAAAAAAAACCCTCAACAATTATCATGTAATTAACTCCTTGAGAATCTATTTGATGATGAGTAATAAAACTAGACCCACTAAGCGCATGCTTAGTTGAGGTGCAAATGACAACTTCAAGAGATAAGGAATCCTTCAGCCCTAATTAAGTAACTTCAAGAAATGCCATGGCATGATCTAGCAACAGCATTACCGAGCCATTACAATAGCATAGCTTAAAAGAACTAAACCTATGTTGATGTTTTGTTCAAACTAGCACTATTTGTCGCTTCTCTCTATGCGCTTTTTTTTTTTTTTTTTTTTTTTTTTTTTTTACCGTTGTTGCTGTAAATTACAACATTAACTCTCTATTGCATTTTGATTGGCTCATCGATCAATCATCTCTTTTTTGAATTTTTTATTCGTATATTTTTGGGAATTCATAATTTTTATGTTCATAGCTTGACATGTGAAATTGTACTTAGGGGTCAGACTTATCGTTATTTTATTTTTAGGTCTTTTGATTAGGCATTGGTATTTAATTTATAATGAATTTTAAGTCCTAACTTCCATCTTATCAAATAAGCTTCAATGGCCGATGACATCATGGGTGTGAAGTTTTTTTTAGTAGGTTTCAAGGTAGTTCTTAGCTATCAAATTCAAATGGACTTATCTAAAACTAGTCAGAAAATACTCAACAATTAGCTTAGCCCACAATTCAAGATATAAAAAAGAACATAAAAATAGACTAGCATAAATAAATTTCTTCTAGATTAAAAATATAAAATAACCTTATTGTAAAGGCATACTAAGATGATCATCGTCTTTTTTAATTGTGTAACTAACTTATTTAACAAGAATTCTCTAATGTAGTGTTAGATTTTTCTTAGTTCTTACTTAAAAAAAAAATTTATTTATTTATTTATTTTTATTTTTTATTTTTATTTTTTTAGAAACGAATTCTATAATTGAACTATATTATTAACCATCACCAATACATCATCATGGGATACGTATCTCCAGCAATAAAAGCATCACTCAATGGCATCCCACTAACATGTTTTAGTTTTTCGCCACTTCTTTTCATAATATTTTCGATCTCTTTGGTAGTGCATAGTTTCCCGGTTGTGCTTCACTCAGGTAGATTGTTTTTTTAAATTTCAGATGAGTCTAAACTCTGCGTAAAATATTTTCAATCAAAATATTTTTTTGTCTTCCATAGCTGACGTATATCTGAAATCTCACAACGCATCAAGACTGTTGCAAATATTGTCAGAATAGATTTTTCCCAACAGAAATAGCGGTTTTGTCACCAAATTACATTTGGAAAATCTCAATTGTAGCGTGTGCTAAACAAATAAAGATTGTTTTAACTTAAAATGAATTTTGTATTTTTAATTTTTTGGTACAACTTTGAATATGTAATATGTGTAATATTTCATAATATAATTCACGCACAAAAGATGAAGTTGAGAAGATTATTGAGAAAATAAAGGAAGCTGGAGCTAAAGTTGCAATAGAATAAAGAATGTGAGATTGCTTCTATGTAGACTTAGATTTTTCCGAATTTTGAATCTATAAGTTTAATTCTAGAATTTTTCATTTAGCTTTACTTTCTTTTCCTTTTCTCTTTCCTTTCAATTTGATTCCTACTGTAGTTTCATTTCTTCTTCTTTCTTTTGTCCTTTTCCGTTTTGATTTCTTTAAACTTTTTGAGTTGTTTTGTGCCAAGTGTTTCTCTCGACATATGTGTCATTCTTTGATTAGATTCAGCATGTGATGTGCGAAAAATCTAATTTAAAATTTAATGAAAATCTAATATGGCCTCAGTTCTGTTTCAGATGCCCACTCATGAGTTTCCTCTAAGGAATTCCACTCTCGGTCATCTTACAATAGACCCAGTGCATGGAAAGCTTCTTTAAATTTAGGATAGATAATATCGTTTCTAGTTATAATCTTTTCGTAAGATCTAGCACCCCGAACCACATTTAACAAATACATCCTAAATAGTCTCTTTGTGCTTTTGGCTTCCATTCTGGTGTTTTTTTACGCCGTACCCATTCATTTGGAAACTATCCATATGTTAGCTTTCTTGCTTCGGGATACAAATCATTTGCCTGCATCCATTCTATAAAAATATGCAGATATGTACTTGAAATTCAGGAAAAAATAATTTAACGTAATGAATAAGAAATAAGGAATATTATTAGTATTTGAAAGGAAAATGGAGATATTGTTAGTATTTTTAATAAATAGTAAATAAATAATTATCTCTATAATTCTAATAAACTCTAAAATGGAGTGGGTGACCTTATTTCAGACCTTGATTTGCCGACTATTCATTCCCTATCCATTGACAAATGGTATTCCACTACAAAGCAGTTAAAACTGTTGTTTTATTGACCGAATAGAACAGTGGTCGTAGCTAATAAAATTAAAAAATAAAGATGAAGTTAAACACACAGATTTTTTCGTGGAAACCCTTAAACAAATTAAGGGAAAAAACCACGGACAAGATAGAAGAATTTCATTATGAAAAAATAATAGGAGTTACACCCTCTCTCTATACTATAAGGAGAAAACAATAAATTTCTCTCTTGAAATAGAAAAAAACACTCTCTATATTTTTCTCTCTTTTCTTTGAGATGAATGGTGGGATATCAAACTAAGGTAAAGAGGCCTATTTATAGACCTCTCTCCTTGCTTGCACCGCCTCAATTTAGGCGGTGCAAGGCTGGTCACGGCTTGTATTTTGCAAGCTGTGATCTAGCTTG